CAAGGGAATACACTCGCAGATCTATCTGACCCACTTCGAGTAGTCGTGATAATATCGAAGCGTCCATTGCTGTGTACATCAAACAGATTTATTTTTGAAACAAGGTAGGCTTGGCCAAGTTGTTTGAACTGAAAGGAGGAAGCTCCAGCTGTGTTGGGGATAGTACAGTTAGGATGATGACGGGGTATGAAAATTAAAAATCTAATTAGTCCATAAACTAGGTAATAAAAAAAACATTTGACACGTATTTTTTATTTTGTCGTATAATAAAACAATACTTAGATAAAACGAATCAAAGTTTAGGAGTGGGGGCTAAAACGTCATTTCTACGTATAAAATATACATAATTATAAGTGACGTCACGCGACATTTCAAATCAATATACCGTCGAAAGTATTTGTTTCTGTAAGAAAATAAAAAATACGTGTATAATGATTTAAAATAATCTACCAGACGGACATTAAAATAATTAGGCATCTACCCTATTAGATATATATATTTCGCTTTTGTGGGTATTTTAAGTTTAATGGCACGTTTGTTATTAGGAAATTGGAGGTCTAATTATAATTTTTTGGCGTTGTGCGGCGAGTAATTTAAAGTCAGACTTTCAAATAAAATTCGTGTTCAATAGTAAAACTTGTAATCGACTTGTTCATGAAAGTCTGTAACCGCCTAAACTGTCACAGAGGTTCTTAAGTCCAAAATGAAACAATAGACAGTCAATAGCGACCATAAACAATAATATTGTTTATGGTCGCTATTATATTGATATTATCAATATTCTAGTAATAATACTAATAGTGGGTCCCATGCATAGTAGGCAGTGGAACGCCACAATACCTTAAAGGAATTGATATCCTAAGTAAAAAGTAATAACTGTAAATCAACGATTTCCTAAATGAAAACTGAGACTTGGGATTATGTAGTTTTTTTTTGTAAGGGGAAAATCATCGAATGACTTCTCCCGCGCAGGAGAGGCGGGAGGGAGTGTCAGACTCTTACTGACTAAAAACCACCCCCTTCCTACTCCTGTTCTTCGAGCCGGAGCCCCCGTAACCCGTTGGGTTCTCCGCGACGAGATTATGTAGTTAGGCAGTTGTTTAGAAGTAAAGTATAATGTCATTTATAAATAAAAAAAAACCTTTTATTCTATTCATAAATAAACAGCGATTGCATTGAAAACAGATTTAAACTAAAACATTTGATTGTAAATAGTTAAAACAGTTTTTTTTATTTAATTTAATTTTATTATAATGACAAAATTAACTAAAAAAAATCGCGGATTACTCACGTGAATATATTGAGAAAAGCTCTACTAGTTTCGAACCACAGAGGGGTTCTTCCTCATGAGCAGCGTGCGCGGTCGCGGCGATGTCGCGCAGCCTACAGTATATTCACGTGAGTAACCCGCGATTTTTTAGTTAATTTAGTATGCCTCCTGATTGTTATTATAAAACATATTATAATGTCGTTTAATATTTAGATGCAAGGCTTTACAACTACGAATATCAGTTTCGGCTAACAGAAATGGACAAAAGCTTTTTTAAATTTAACGAAAACATATAATCAAAAATCAATCGAAAGACCAAGATCTCAAAGTCGATATCACTATGCTAGAATATATGGCATATGAATATTATGAAAATGCAAGGTACAATCCCTGTCAAAGTATGATAAAGTTGTTACAAGTATAAAGTGTCGGTGCGACGCTTATCAAGATTCTATTACGGGACAAGCGAAAACCGTACGAAGGCGTACAAAACTGATATTGAAATTGTGAACTTTTAGGTCCTTTATGCAATGTGGTAAGTATTTTAATAAAATATAAATGTTTGGGAGTAAATGAAACTGGGCTTTATATATAACTAGCGACCTGCACTAGCTTTGCATGCGTGCAATATGCATGTATTATACGTATAAACCTTCCTTAGAATCACTCTATCTATTAAAAAAACCGCATCAAAATCCGTTACGTTGTTTTAAAGATCTAAGCATACATAGGGACAAACAGACGGCAGATAGCGACTTTGTTTTATAATACATATGTACTAATATGTAGTGATACCATAGGTTACATTAAATTATTATTCATAATTATATTCTTAGCTTGTTATTCTCTTATAGCAAAACTTGCAAAATTAAATTAAATAGAGTCAGAAGAGACGTGGCAAGCAAAGGAGAAACACAACAGACAATGCATTGACAAAAATGAAAAAAAAAATGTTATAAATAGGTTTTGGCTTAATAAAAGGATACATGAAATTATAGATAGACTGTCTCGTTGACCGAGTGGTCGCAAGTGCGACTGCAGGGCAAGGGGTTCGATTCCCGGGTATTAAAAAAATCTCAGTAGTAGCACAGAGTCTGACATTGTGCCCGGTAATGGCAATACGCTCTGCCCCTGTTACATGAGTCTCATAACATAAATACTGAACATTGGGTGTTATATTGTACAGTGGCATTAAGTGCCGTAGTGAGCATCTCTGCCTACCCCTTCGAGGATAAAAGGTGTGATGTTATGTTATGTTATTAAATTGCTGATCTTTGTAAAAAAACTTTAGTAAGTTTTTTGAATTTCAAACATTACCAATAGAACAAATTACAACACATAAATTACTTCAATACAATACATACAATACACACAGACAAAACTAAAACAATTAGGTACTCATGTTGCCCACAATTTATCTCTAAGACTGGCATCCCGTATTGTTGCCAGACTCACGATTGACTGCCAGACCACACTGGCAGTCGTCCAGACACACATACATCTTATATTTTACATTTCCATTGAAAAATGGCTTCTTAGATTACCTACATGTATAGGAGATAGGAGGAACAGACCAGATAGAAAAGATTTATAAGCGTGTGAATAGTAAGCAGTATTTTTATAATAACTACAGAGAAACAAGTGAAACAAGTGAATTTATTTCTGCAAATAGGCTACAAGGCAGCACTTTTACACGTCAATTTTATCAAGCGAACGATGAGGCCTACATTTCCTAACTGACTACTCTAAGAAAAAATGCCGAAACAAACTCAGAGGTCTGTCTCTTTTAAAGTCCATATAGTGAGACATACTAAATTAACTTAAAATCGCAGGTTAATCAGAAAGAAAGAAAGAAAAATCTTTATTTCACGCCAAAAAACAAGTGACATGCACAAATAAGTCATTGTATTAATAGGAACTGATAGATACATGTTCATGTCCCAAGTCTGCGGTGAAATGGGACCAGTTCAGCATGTGCAAGACAGGGCCTTGCACTGGTATTCTACTGGCCCCTTAAGTGTCTCGACGAACAAGCCACCGATTAGACATTAGCGGTTTAGATTAAATAAATTGATTAAAACAACATAATAATTTTACAAAACAAATAAAGAGATAACATAAAAAATAATAATTTAACAAAATAAATGAATAAATAAAATAAATCACAACCGGGTAGTTACATATTATATTGAATAATTTCTCCTTATATTACTTATACAGAAGATCAGAATCACGTGAATAAACTGAGAAAAGCTCTACTAGTTTCGAACCACAGAGAGGTTCTTCCTCATGAGCAGCGTGCGTGGTCCAGTAGGCTGCGCGACATCGCCGCAACCATTACCGCGCGTTAATTTAGTAAGTTAGTATGTTAGAATCGGCTGTGTGTAGAATACATTGTTAATATGTCTTCCCTCGGGTAGCACAAAGGCCGATTAAGATACTAAACTAAACATTTGCTAGAGATAAGACAGCATCGATCGCTTTCAACATCCGAAGCTTTTACACTGCGAATTTTAAGTGTGGGAAAACCATGCTTCGGCACGAATGGGCCGGCTCGACCGGAATGATACCATGCCTGAGGAGAAAACCGACGTGAAACAATGCTTGCATTATATTTTGTCGTGTGAGTGAGGTTACCGGAGGCCCAATTACCCCCAGGCTCCCCAATCCCCGAATCCCTGACAATCCTCAAATCCCCAATCCCCAAAAAGCCGGTAACGCACTTGTAACGCCTCTGGTGTTCCAGGTGCGCACGGACAGCGCCGATTGCTTACCATCAGGTGATCTGTCCGCTCGTTTACCTATCTTGCCTGACAAACGTAATAAATATAATAAACCCTGTTGTTTGAGAACAATATTCTTTCAGCCATCTTTTTCAGAATTTGAATCTTAATTAACGAGTTATTATCAATATTTATTTTCTACATGGAAACTAAGATATTACACTCAAAGGAACGCGTTTTTTGTTAGAGTTTCCCAAGAGTTTCTGTTTGAGGTACCATCATAATTCTACATTTTATTTCTTGCAACTTTCTCGTCATGTCTTATAATTAATCTTTTTTCACCAGTTATTTTATATATGCCCTATATTTCAGTTCCCGAGCCTCTCAGCTGACGAATGATACTTTAACCGACCTGGGAATCAAACCTCTTATGATCAATCGACCAACAGAAGACCAGCAGAAACGTAAAGTTAAACAATAATAAGTAAAACAATATCGTAATGGGCTTTAACAATCCTATTTATTTAACCAACCAAAACTATTTACTTTGGGCTCCTTTGAAATATTATGAAATAAGTTTCACAGCCACCCCACGAACAAACAAACAAAGTCCAGTTCTCTTGTTGCTACAACTGGCAACACTAATTCTGTTTAATTTAATAAACGCGACAACAAAAGATGAAAGTACACTTGAACATTCACGGTAGGGGGATAGGGTTGCCAGTCAGAAAATGTAAGTGACGTTTTAACACTGTTAATTAATTCAAATGCGATGTTATCTCGAATGTATTAAAAAAATATTATAATCATAATCAAAACATTTTATTTCATGTATTACAAATCATGAACTCTAAGATGAAATGGCACAAAAGGAGATGGCGAGAGGAGAATTAGACATCTATGACAAGGATTGGCCGCAAAAAGCATTACATAGAGAGGAGTGGAAGGAGGGTAGGGAGGCCTTTGTTTGGCAGTGGGACGATCATGGCTGAAAAAAAATCATGAACTAAGTATCCAGTAACCTCACTCACACGACGAAACGCAACGCAAGCGTTGTTTCACGTCGGTTTTATGTGAGGCCGTGGTATCACTCCGGTCGAGCCGGCCCATTCGTGCCAAAGCATGGCTCTCCCACACTTATACAGAATCCTTCAAGGAGATATAAGATCTTTTTAAAAAAAGTTGTGGTGAAGATTCTGTTACTTAGCTTAAGGTAAGATTAAAAAAACAACAAAGTATCCTTACTAATATTATAAATCGGAAAGTGAGTTTGTTTGTTTGTTTGTTCCGCTTTCACGCCGTAACTACTAAACTGATTGCTTTGATTTTTTGCAGACGTTAAGTTAGAAGTCCAGATTAAATAATAGGGTACTTTTAACCCGGAAAAATTTGATATTCCCGAGGGAAAACAAATGTATTGGTATAGATGGCGCTGTGTGTATTGGTATATGTCACATAACACTTTTTATCCTATTGTGACGCGAGCAAGGCCGCGGGTAAAAACTAGTTTAAAATAATATTTATAATCAAAATCAAAACATTTGTTTTCAAATATTACAAATCATGAACTAGGTATCCGGTAATCTCACTCACACGACGAAACACTACGCAAGTGTTGTTTCACGTCGGTTTTATGTGAGGCCGTTGTGTCACTCCGCCGAGCCAAGCACGGCTCACCCACACTTATACAGAATCCTTCTTCAAGGAGAGATAAGATCTTTTTAAAAAAAAGTTGTGGTGAAGATTCTGTTACTTCGCTCAAGGTAAGATTAAAAAAACAACAAAGTATAAATTTATAAGGAATTCCAGCGCCAGTCCACAACATAGTGTCGTGTAAGTAGCACCCCTACGTAGTACAGTATCATCTGGCGCGGCTCGCTACCCTCATTATAAAGTTTTAATGGTTTTATCAAACGTTACCGAGTGCCTGTCTACCGTGGGCTCAGCGGTGGGCTCCGGGAGACCACTGCTGAATGATACAAGGGTTTGTTGCTATGGCTCTATTGATATCTGTAGGTAACAGAATTGTCCAAATTAATTCAGAATTCGGAACATGTAATAATCCAACTGCCTCGTTAGCCGAGTGGTCGCAAGTGCAACTGCTGGACAAAGGGTCGGGTTCGATTCCTGGGTCAGGCAAAGTATTACTGGGTTTTTAAAAAAACACAGAGTCTGGAAATGTGCCTTGTATATGGCAATAGGCTCACCCCCTATTACATGGGACTCATAACATAAATAGTGAAAAGTGGGTGCTACATTGTACAGTGGCATTAAGTGCCGTTATGGTGTATCTCTGCCTACCCCTTCGTGGATAACCAAACCCCAAACGCCTTACTCAACAGTCTTACTCACAACCACTTGGCTAACGCGTCAGTCTATTAAAGAGCAATTAATTCGCTTAGAAAGAAACTCTCAGAACCGAACCAATTCATCTATATTTGTAGCACAGTATCGACTGCTGCGTGGCCAGTTGGGTAGCAGTCGGTGTGTCATCCATCATTGTACTATACTTGTAGTTCCCTGCCGGTGACAGACTGATCGATCTCGCCGCAATCATGTAAAGGGTTAACAGCTTTGAAAGCGATACCACTTTGTAGTTAGTTATATTTGTAATTAGTTATGTTGAAGGGTTAATTACTTAGTCTTTTGAGATTAACACCTTTAGTTCTGGTCTGTTGGTCTATTGGGATTAGTCAAAATTTTAACACATTATCACACGCCTTTTCTCTCCGAAGGGGTGGGTAGAGGTGCACATCACGGCTTTTTATGCTATTGTACAATGTAACACCCACTTTGCACTATTTATATAATAGGGGGTGAGCCAATTGTCATATAAGGTAGTATATAGACACAGTTCCACACTCCGTGTTACTACTGAGAATGTTTTAAAAACCCATGCAGTGGCGCGGGACCCTTTAGCCGGCAGTCGCACTTGCGACCACTCGGCCAACGAGTTAATTTTAACATTTACAGAAAAAGTCACGTCTTTCGGGGAGGAAAGAGATATACAATAGAAACGTAATCTATACAGATAAATAAAATTGCAGTGTCTGTTTGTAATATTAAAATAACCGGTTTTTACTACATACGTATTATACACATTCCAAACTTGACTGCACGGTTGGTGCGGTGGCTGGGCAACCGGCTGCCGTGCAACGTCTCGCGGGTTCGATTCCCGCACTGAACAACACTTTTTGTGATCCACAAATTGTTGTTTCGGGTGTGGGTGTCATTGTGTATGTGAACTTGTATGTTTGTAAACGCATCCACGACACAGGAGATAATCCTAATGTGGGGCAAAGTTTAAAAAAAAATAATAATAATATTTATTACAATTTTTGTCGGTTTGTCTGTCTGTTTGTACTGGCTAATCTCTAGAATGGCTGCACCGATTTTGCAAGACTTTTGTTGGCAGGTAGCTGATGAACTAAGGAGTAACATAGACTATTTTTATTTTACATAGACTGAGAAAATAGGCTGCGCGACATCGCCGCGACCGCGCACGCTGCTCATGAGGAAGAACCCCTCTGTGGTTCGAAACTAGAAAGAAAGAAAGAAGAAAGAAAAAACATTTATTCAGCACCAGGCGCGATGCAGCATAAATAAAATATAAAAAAGACAATAAAGGTGTGACAGTGGAAGAAATAAAAATATAAGAGTTGAAAAATTAAAATAGAAGAATTAGAAGACGCTGACAACATGCCTATGCTAAAAGGGTCACCCACTCAGTGTAAGCCAGGCATACAAGTTACCCAGCACTGATTTTCAGTGGGCACCCCAGGGCACCCATAGTAGTAGAGCTTCTCTCAGTATACTCCCGTCAGTAACCCGCGATTTTTAGTTAACGATTATCTTAAATTATACATTGGATACAACCCAGACAAATACATCACAACAGAAAAATTATCGACATTTTCCATTTTCGTTTCTTGAAGAGCACTTATAAATTCCAAGAGGTTTCGTCTGAAGCGTTTTATAAAATAAAACAAAAACAAACGAATTAATATGGTAATGATTGCGAGTCCGCGCTTATAATATATTTCAAGGGCCTTATTTTTAAATTGTAATAAATGAGTTTAGCACGTGGAACATTGTAGCTCTTATTAATTGGTACCTTTACAGTTTGTTTTCTTTATGGACTGAGTATTGAATGGGTTATGTTTAGGTGCAACCCGCAATAAGCAAGTGTGGTGATTTAAAGTCATCACACGCCTAACAAACACGGCTTCGGCAAGGTTCCAACTCAGCAATTATCTTATGATCGTATATCGTATGACATATTTCATAACGTTGATATAAAAAAGCTGTAAGTGCGCCCCCGTGCGCCGACGCGCCTACAACGTTTTTAGATTGTTTGCAAAACAAAAAACGGCATACCGGAGCCTTGCTTGAGCCATGCCGAAGCCGTACTTGTTAGGTGTGCTATGTGTGACTGTGGTCACACATACTTCTCACACACATCTTCTGTGTGTGAGAAGAGGTCTTTGGTCATCAGTGGCCACTTAGACATAGGCTATTGATGTGATGTTTTTCAGTAGTAGCATTTGTGTGCAATGCCCGGCAAAATGCCTCGAGTTCGCTTTTCAAAAGTATGGTAGGAATTTTTCGGTTGTTCAAAAAATATTTAATAAATTCTTTATAGTAAGTCTGCAACAGAAAATTTCTATTACCTTACTCCGAAATGGGACTAGACTATCTACATATCATGTCCCTAAAAATATATTATCCCTTGAAGTCAAAGTCAAAGTCAAAGTCAAAATCATTTATTTCAATTAAACCAGAAAGGCACTTTTGAACGTTAACAAAAAAAATTAAAATTGAAGCTATTTGCTCATTCCAAGGTGTAGATTCCTATGGAGAAGAACGAGCAAGAAACTCCATCTCCATCATCAACTTAATCTAACGTAACAATACAACGTTTTTAACTTTCCAAAACTCATTAATTTTGACAGCTTTGTCATTCTACATATATACATAACTTCACGCCTGTCTCCCATGGAGTTAGGCAGAGACTATGGAACGCCAATTGCTACGATTCTTATAAAACCTCTTTCGCTTCATCAACAGTCATCAATCTTTTCATGCATGTTCGTCGGTTAAGGGTACTTTTAATTTGGCCCTTCTTTAATATATCGCCAATCTGGTCAGTATATTTCCGTCTAGGATGCCCTCTACCTACGGCGCCATTCACATTCTTTGTCATTTTCTCGTACCTCATCATCAATAACACTGTTTTACCGACCGTTATATGACACGGCTTTACCGACCTCATCAGAGAGGTCTATGGTCTATAATGACGCGGCCATCTTGGCAGGGTAGTGAATTGTTCCCTAATCTTACTGATAACGCTCTAGAGATCAATTCTAAGAGGCTCCAGGGATGATCTTAATGGATTCGTCGAGAGAAGGTTAGTATAAGTGGCTAGGAGATCAGTGTAGGATTCTATGAATATGTTATTAATGTTTTAATTAATTTTTAATAAAGGTATTTTGAGTATACTTAATGTGCATACATTTTATTTGGATGAAATTATTACTGATTTCAATACTATAATTTATTTATTTATAAATTAATAAAAATCAATTGTAAGAGAACTAATGGTCTAATAATAGAGCTAATGTTCTATTGTATTTCTGTCATAAATAACTGCACGGTTGACACGGTGTAGTACCATGTAATAGAGGCCATATACCGGATACAATTCCAGCTGCTACAGGTATTTATAAAAATCATGGTAAAACTTTGCCCAAACTGGGAATCGAATCCCTTGTCCAGCAGTCGCATTTGCGACCACTCAGCCAAAGAGACAGTTATAATTTTATACACATACATAATAATTTTTTTATGCTCAAAATATATGTAAGGTACGCTCTTATTTCATTAAAAAATGCATAATAATGAGAACAAATGAGACAAACAGAAAAATATGTCACCTACTTACGATACACAATTGCAAGCACCACAAAAGCGTTGTCATATGAAAATGTAATTAAAAACAAGCTACATAAAGACCTCTTTTGTTTTTCATAGCCTGGTAGCAACGCATCAGTGATTCGACCTTTTATGTGCAACTGTATATACAGAGTGTTATGGAAATCTTTGTTTTTTTATGAGATAAGCCGGT